TCAAAATTTGAAAGGAGGAAAAATCTTGGAAAAGTTGAAAATTGTAAAAAAAAATAGAGAGAGAGAGAGAAGATGGGAAAACCATTTTAGAAAAATTTTTAGAAAATTTTTTTTTTTTTTTTTTTTTTTCCCCCGTATCTTTTTATATTTTCATCCGGGATTGAAATATATGAAAAAAAAAATATATATATATATATATATATATTTTTTTATTTTATTTATTAATAAATTTTCTAAATGGGAAATGAAAGAAGAAAAAAAAAAAAGAAAAAAACAAATCAAATAAAATTTTTCATTTTTATTTATTTCCCTTTTTAGATTCCAAGTAATTTTACGTATCATTTATTATTATTATTATTATTATTATTATGGTTTTTCTGTATTTGAAATGTAATTGATTAATTAATAAGATTAATAAGTTTTTTTGTTGGATTTTGTTGTAGGTTGGGATGGACATCAACAAGTTCACAGACAACTTTCGGTGTCGAGCGATTCTAAATTGTTGGACGAGGATATACGAGAGGAAACTTGTGTGATTTTAAGACCTAAAAAACCTCCAAGGCCGAAATCCGAAGTTTTCCTTAATAAAGAACAGCAAAGCAAAAGAACCAAAAGATATTCTGCTTTTGGTGTAAGATTTTTATTTATTTATTTATTTATTTATTCGTAAAGATGTGTAAATATTTTCAGAAGCCTTAGTTTCACGGATGTGTCATTTAAATTATAAATTTATTTAAAGTATTTGAGATGGGGAAATTAAAAAAAATTTTGTTTTTGTAGGGAGACTCGCCTTTTGGAAAGTCTGAAGCTTATATAAAATTGGAGCAATTAGGAGAAGGTTCCTATGCCACAGTATTTAAAGGTTTTAGTAAGTGAGTATCGATCGGGGGGCACATTTTACGTATTATCTATTTTATAATAAAATGATATTAAATGATGAGAATTTTTTTTTTTTTTTTTTTTTTTTTTTTGTGTCAGCTTGACGAATCAAGTAGTGGCTTTAAAAGAAATTAGACTCCATCAAGCGGAAGGAGCTCCTTTCACGGCAATAAGGGAGGCTTCACTTCTTAAAGAGCTCAAACACTCCAATATAGTCACATTGCATGATATAGTTCATGCCAAAGAAACTTTAACATTTGTATTCGAATATGTCGTGAGTTTTTCTTTTCTTCTTTTTCTTTTCTTTTTTTTTTTTTCTGTCGTAAGGAGAAAAGGTTTAAATTGAATTTTTTTTTTGTTCACGAATGACAGCACACAGATTTATCACAGTATATGGAAAGACACAGTGGAGGTTTGGAATACAGAAATGTCCGATTATTTCTTTTTCAATTACTTCGAGGATTATCTTATTGTCATCGCCGAAGGGTTTTGCACAGAGATGTAAAACCTCAAAATTTGCTTATATCAGAAATAGGAGAACTCAAATTGGCGGATTTTGGTAAGGGAGTGAGTGAGAGAGGGAGGGTGGGATCTCTTGAAAGATATCAAAAGACAAAAATCGCGAGGGGGGATGAAAAAAATAATCGTAAAAAATGAAAAATTTTTGTTTTTTTTTTGTTAAAACAGGTTTAGCAAGAGCAAAGTCTGTACCATCTCACACATATTCTCACGAAGTAGTTACGTTATGGTATCGTCCTCCTGATGTACTTTTAGGATCAACAGAATATTCGACTTCTCTCGACATGTGGGGTGTCGGATGTATTTTTGTTGAAATGATCACCGGCGTGCCTACTTTTCCTGGAGTCAAAGACACTTTTGATCAGTTGGATAAAATATTCAAGGTTTTCTTTTTTTTTTTTTTTTTCTTCTTCCTTTTGATTTACTTTTAACAAAGAAGAAGAAAAAAATAAAATAAAATTTTCTTTTTAATCATTAATTTAAAATATTAAATAGAATCCGAATTCGGTTTTATTCTTACATTATTCTTTATTACATATTTTCGGTTACATTTTTTTTTTTTTTTTACAGTTAAATCCTGATGACAGATTAGGAGCCGATGAAGCGTTAAAGCATAAATATTTTGCAACACTTCCAAAAAAGTTATACGAACTCCCCGATGGTAAGTTTATTATTATTATTATTTTTTTTTTTTTTTTTTTACAATTTTCCTGGAAAATGGGAAAAGAAAAAAAAAAAAAAAAAAAGGAAAAAAAATCGTAATAA